CTCATGATCTTTGCCTCTTTCCTTTTTTTTTTTTTTTTTTTTCCTTTTTTTAAACTTTTACCAAATACGACATAAGCACACGTTTTTTTCTAGTACCGCGTATGAATAATAATAATAATAATGATGATGATGATGATGAAAATCGTATAGAGTAAAAAAAAAATGACGGCGGAAGGGAACGACCCAAATTTTTTTTTTTTTATCTTTTCCTTTCATTTCACTATTTGCTCTCTTGTAGAATGATCTGGAATCTTCCGTAACTGGAAAAAGGTTAACGAGCAAATAAAAATTATTTATAAGATTAAATAATAATGATAATAATAATAATTAATATCAAGGTTTACTTTGTCGTTTATCGATTAAAAAAAAAAAAAAATCAATTAAAAAAAACTTGAAAATAATTAATTATTATTATTATTATCATTATTATTATTTATTTTATTATTGATCGAATTTAATAATCTATGATTTTTAATCTATCGATTTATCGATATATCGAAACGTTTACTTTAAATAAAAAAAAAAAAAAAAAATTTCGCACGGAAATCTAATTAATAAAACGAAATTTAAAAAAAACTTGATTAATCTTATCTATAATAATCGATTCTAGTAATAATTCGTGACGTCATCATTTCTTTCTTTTTTTTTGTTTATTGTTTTCGAAAAACGTTTGTTGTTGTTGTTGTTGTTGAATGGCGTTTAAATTGACCCGGGAAAACCTTTTTTTTATTTTTTATTTTTTGAAACTCTCTAAAAAAACTTTTGTGTCATACCCTCCCGCCCACCCCCCCTTTGAAATAGATTACGATGATGATGATGATGATGATGATGATGATGATGATGATGATGATGATGATGATGATGATGATGATAATCTTCATTCAATATTTTTTTTTTTTAATAATTTGTGTTACTTTCATTTTTAATTCAATAAGAGAGGGAGAGAGAGGGGGGGAAGAGGTAGAGAGAAACAAGAACAACAAACAACAACAACAATCAACAACAAGGTTGAACCTTTTAATATTAATTATTTCCGTGATTTCGTGTAGAAGAAAAACGAAACAAAAAAAAAAAAAAAATTTATTATTATTATTTTTTTTTCAAAATTAAATTAATTTTCTTATGACGTCGGTGATCACGTGACGAGAAAATTTTGTTGTTGTTTTTTTTCCCCTCCCTCTCATCGATGAGGTTAATATAAAAAAAAATATTAAAAAAATGGCGGGTAAAACGACGCATTTACGCGACGTATAAAATGTCGTAAAATTAATTTTTTTTTAGTTTAAATATTTAATTTATTATCATTATCATTTTTTTTTATGGGTTGAAAGTTCAAAAGGTTTTTTACTTGACGTTGACGTCACGAATAAATTTTTTTTATATTTTAAATCAGGTTCGGAAAGTTCATCGACTTTAACGTAAATTTTTTTTTTTTTTTTTTGCGAGGAGGTCAAAAATTTAATCGATTCGTCAACGCCGCCAACGCGTTTGCAACGTGGCAATTTTCCTCCTTCCCAATCCCGGCGGTGATCCAGAAATTCCAGAACGTATTATTATTATTATTATAATCATCACGGGGAAAAAAAAAAAATTCACCTACATTTTTATCGATTAATATCATAGAATAAATAAATATTATTATTATTATTAATAGATTCGCGGGGATGAAGGTCATCAAGGTGGGGGGAAGGAGGATAACGGTTGTTACATTTTTTTTTTTTTTTTTAATGATAATAATGATAATATTTCTTGTGGTTTTTTTTTTTGCGGTTTTAATCGTTGCACGCTCTTTTTCTATTTTCTCTTTCTTTTTTTTAAATTTAATTTAATTAAATTTTTTTTTTAAACCGTTAAATTATTATTATTATTATTCATATTAAAAAGTTCGATTGATTTAATGACGTCACACCAAAAAAATTAAACCCCTCGGAAATTTAAAGGGATTACCAAAAAAAAAATTTTTTTTAATTAAAATTAAAAACGTTTCAAACGTTTCTACGTCACGTAAAAAATCAATAGCGAACCCGTTTGAATTATTCTATTATTATTATTATTATCATCATCATTATTACTTTCGATTTTATTATTATTATTATGATTATTATTATTGATATTATTGATATTATTTCCAAAGTGAAAGCTAAATAATATATATATGTATATAATTGAGAGTGACGTTTGTAGGGAAATCATCCTAACGGACACATTCATACTTTGCAAAAAATCTATTATTATTATTATTATTATTATTATTATTATTATTATTATTATTATTATTATTATTGATATCGTATAATTAATAAAAATCATCATCATCATCATCATCATCATCAATCATCATCATCGTCGACGTTATCGGAAATCATTCTTTACTTTTTATTATAATTATTTTTTTTTGCTAACCCGAACGTTATTATTATTATTTCTATTATTATTATTATTATTATTATTATTATTATTATTATTATTATTATTATTATTAGTAGTAGTAGTAGTAGTAGTAGTAGTAGTAGTAGTAGTAGTAGTATTAGTAGTAGTATTATCATTATTACGTTAAATATCGACTGATTTTTTCCGTTTGAAGTTTCTCTGTTTAAAAAAAAATAAAAGTCCTTGGGGTCTTATTCGAACGCATTTTTTTTTCTCTTATGACGAACGGACTTAATAACCTGCGTGCGTGTGTGCGTGAGTGCGTGTGACGTTCTAAACGTAAAGAAACCCCCCCCCCCTCATCTTTACCTTCTCCCAAATGAAAGAGAAAAGTAAAAAAATAATAATAATAAAAATTCCTACGGCTCGGTTTTTTTTTTTAAATGCTATTTTTTTACCCTCCCTTCACCCCTTAATACGCTCCTGGCAAAAATAATTTTCGGTATTAAAAAAAAAAAAAAAAAAAAATAATAATAATAATAATAATAATAATAATAATAATAAAGGGAAAAATATATTCGGCAATTACATATTGTTTTATTTTCTTTGTAAAAAAAAAAAAAAAAAAAAAAAAATTATTTATTAATTTTAATCAATTAATGGTTTTTTTACTCGTTTTGGGGGTTTTTCGTATTTCATTATTATTATTATTATCATTATTATCGTGATCACAAATCAGGTTATCGGTAAATGACAGATAATCACAATTATTATAATTACGGTAACTTTTTTTTTTTTTTTTTTGTGTTTGTTCGGTAAAAGTTTTTTTTCTTTTTTTTGTTATTACGTGGCACAAGAACAACAAGAACAACAACAACAAGTTCTCAAAAACTACTTTTTTTTTTTTTTTATAAATCATTGAAAATTTTTTTTTTTTCAATAATAATAATGATTTTATATATAAATTTATACGAGGGAAGTTTGAGATTCTTTTTAAATACATTTCTGAACGCGCACTCGATTAGAGGAAACTGACGAAAGGATGGACGTTTGGCAACAGGACGAACGAAACCGAAACGTTTTTTTTTTTATAATAAATTTGTTACGTGAACGACGATCCTCTCCTCTCTCTCTCTCTTTCTCTCTCTCGTTTTTTTAATAAAAAGCGGTTTTTTTATATGGAAAGGTCAAGGGTTAACATTATCGAATAATAATAATAATAATAAACGGGAGGTTGGCTGGTTTGTGTGATGGAAAGGACCTTCTCGGGTGTGTCCGCTTTATAACTAAAAAAACCTTCCGACCACGATCGATTTATCGATTTATCGATCGATCGATCTCTCGGAAATTATTATTTGATCTTTAATCTTTTACTTATTTATTGTAAATATATAAAAAATTTTTAAACTTGATTGTTTGTTGTTTGTTGTTGTTTGTTGCTGTTATTTAGGTAACGAGGTTCGATGCGGTCAAATATTTTCGCGTTTGTTAGTTAGTAACAATTTTTGGTCGTACTGTTAAATTTTTTCTTTCCTTTTTTTTTTTTTTTTTTTTTTACGAATCGCTGATAAGAATTTCGATTAATCGATTAATTTATTATCACGCGAGTTTGTTCGTTTGTTATTCAGGTTTTAATTATTTTCTTACATGTTTGATAGTATTCATGCGAGAATACGTTTGTTTAAAATTCTTTTCCGTTTGTTTTTTTATGAAAGAGTTTTCATTATAGAATTTTTTTCTTATCACGAAAAATAAACTTTATCGACCGTGAAAAAAAAAAAAAGAAAAAATTAATTTCTTCTGCTTTTTTTTTTTTTTTTTTTAAATTGAATTTACGGCTACCGGTTTATTTGATCTTTGAGTCGGATTTTCCTTATTAAAAAAAAAAAGAAAAAAATTCTAGAAAATTCCTTGTCGTTATCATTATTATTATTATTATTGTCGCTTCCGCGGAATTTTTTTAAAAATCGAAAAAATTTTTAAATCGAGTACAGTTAGTTAATTTGAAAATAACGTAACGGAAGAAAGGGAGGGGAAGCGACGGGGAGAGGGGACGTGTGGGGGCAATCGTAGCAGACGTCACGGTCGGATGAATTTTTATTTTTTATTTTTTTTTGTACATTGTTTTCTAACCGACAATCAAACAATTATCGGTTGTTACACTTTTGTATCACAGAAATTAATTATTTTTATGAAAGAGAGAGAGAGAGAGAAAAAGACAAACAAACATAAAGAAAAAGAGAGAAAATTAGAAAAAATATTAAAAGAGAGAAAGAGAGAGAAAATTAGAAAAATATTAAAAGAGAAAGAGAGAGAGAAGAATATAAATAATAATAATAATAATTTTTTTTTATTGCAGGTTTTTTTCATGAATCCCTGAAATTATGAAGAATCCCAAGAACAGTAACTGAAAAAATTATGTTAAATGTCAAAATGGGAACTCGAACCCTACATAAAAAGCTCAAGCTCATAGTATATTGTAATATAACATAAGAGAAAGAAAGAAAAAGAGAAAAAAAACTTTAAGAGAGTGTGAGAAAAGCGAACAAAAACAAGGAAAACAAACGCAACAAACCACCAAAAAAGGAAAAACAAAAAAAAAAAAAATGTCTACGAAAAATCAAATATACATGAATTCATCATCGATCAGAACGGCGGGTTCAAAGTGCAACCTTATATTACAAAAATGTTTAGCCATACAACTTCATAAAACTCGAGGTGTCATACCCTGCGGTCCCAATAATACGGGAAGAAACGGAGATGGTGGTGTTGGCGTTGGCGTCGGTGGCGGCGTCGGCGGAGCCGTCGATGATTATTGGATGTACGACAACGGTTACCTCCTCTTCCAGGTACGTATACCCCCTTCGTTCGTTCGTTTACGTTCGACCTTTTCACCGATGATAACACTTAACGTACCCTTTTTTTTCGTCTCTTCCCACAGGGTTTTTTGGAAGCGAATTCAAAATGTTTTTGGAATTTATCACTTCTCGAAGCCATGAAAGAACTACAGTTCGAAGGTTACGTTTCCCAAGGGATCCTACTGGTACGCGGGAGTCCCTGCGCATTGGAAATATTAAGAAGCGCATGGTCAAGAAACGTATTGAAAGCTCCAACAAACTACACCATATCTCAACTTGGTAAGTTTTTTATTTTTTAAATTAAAAATCGAATCGTTCGAAAACGTCATCGATGGATCGATCGATAGGTCGATCTTTAAAAAACGCATCACACGCATTTACGCGCACCACCCCACACTACGCCGTAAACGTGTTTTTACGTAATACAAAAAAAAATTGTTATCATCGACAACTTTTCAAAAAATTTCAAATTTGAATACATAATTCAGGTATTTTTTTTTAGGTTTCGCGGGTATTTCCCAATATACGTCCAAACAAATTTAAATAACAAACGTACCGTAAAGTAATAATAATAATAATAATAACGCGGGGGGGCATTATTTACGTTTTATTTTTTTTTTTCCGCGGTAATAATAAATACGAATGATAGGATAACAAACAAACTCATATGTTGGTTGTTGTCGATTTGTTGGCAAACGAGTAAGTGGAAATAGATAAAAAAAAAAAAAAAATTTATATTTTAGTATCACGTTCCTCCAACAAACAACGATCAATTTAATTTTTGAACTTTCTAACGTAATTTAAAGAATTATTTATTTATTTATTTGTTTAACCTTTTTGAACCTTATTAAAAAACAATCACACTTTCTTCGCATAAAACGAAACGAGTTGTTGTTGTTTGTTTGCCACTTTCCGCCAACGCCGAAACCGAATCATCATCATCATCATCATTATGGTTACGTAAAACGTTTTGCGAAAAAAAAAAGAAAAATTATTCACGAAAGTTTTTTTTTTTTTTTGATGTATTATTATTATTATTAATATTGTTTGTTGTTGTTGGTTGTTGTTGTGAGTCGATGTCGAAGGTGTATTTTTAAAAAATGACCCGGGTAAAAACAAGCAAACAACAAACGGGGGATATTTGAGTGAGTGGATACGTACAAACACGCACGCGTTCGCTTTCTTTTGCGTTTGTCGTGGAAGAAGAAGAAAAAGAGTGACGTAACAAATTTCGGTTTGAAAAAAATTTTATTATTTTTTTTTTTCGGGGCTTTGATAAAAATTTCTTTTCCTCGGTGGTTTTATCAGTGGACAGAAAAAAAAAAAAAAAAAAATTACTCGAGGCGTATTTATCAGGTCATCGACCTCCATTTTTTCCTTTCCTCCCCCCTCCTCCCCCATTTCTTTCCTTTTAATTTGGTTTTTTCTTTTTTTTTTATTTTATTTTTTTATCGATTTTTACGTTTAATAAATTCAAACGTCGTTTTTTGCTATTTTTTTTTTTATTCTTCTCCGGGGAAATATTCTATTGCCACGTTTTCAACTTTGACATAGTCGTTTACGCAATTCAGTTATTTGTTTATTTAATGGTGATGATGATATTGACGAACGTTTTTTTTTTTTTTTTTTTTTACGTGGCGGAAGATAAAAAAAATTTTTTTGGCGCGAAAAATCAGGACGAATGGTATTTAATTAAAACCACGACTTTTTTTTTTTAAATATAGTTTTCTCGGAAAAATTGTCGGAATTAAATAATAATAATAATTGGAAAATTTATTCGGAATGTTTGTTTGTTTTATAGTCGGTTGTTAAACACGCCGCCACCCACGTTTGTTGTTTGTTTAAAAAGAAAATCACACGAATTTTTTTTTTTTTTTTTTTTAAAAAACAAATCTCGTTAACAGTTAAAGTTATCAATCCACCTGACAAATTCGTCTGGAACATTAAAAATTTAATGACGTGTCTAAAGAAAGAGTTAAAGAGAGAGAGAGAAGGTAATTAATTCCCACAAGTTAAATACGAGTCGGGCGGGGGTTATTTTTTATTATTTTTTACGGTTTTGCAAGTTTTTTTTTTTTTTTTTTCCTTTTATCCATTGTTTTCCTTTTTTTCTTACCACCTTTTTGTTTTGTTTTTTTTTTTTTTCAGGTACGCATTAATTCATTTATTATTACCCTTCATTGTTTTTTTTTTTTTTTTTTTTTTATTAAAAGAAAACATTTCGTGATGTCTGGCCGGTTACTTATTCCATAATAAAAATTAAAAAAAACGCGCGTTTATTTTCTCTATGAAACCGTCGGTTGTTGTTGTTGTTTTTTCTTTTAATTTACGATCGTTCGTTTGTTCGTCGTACCTTAAATAATAATCGGTGGGATTTTTTTTTTTTTTTTTTTGCTCTTTTTAATAATTTTATTACCGCATTGCTACCAACTTATTTTTTCTCTCTCTCTCTCTTTAACAAGAAAGGATTATTGTTTTTCTTTATACAAACGAAGGTGTGTTCGTCACAAATTTCACATTACCCACGTCGCTGTTTTTTTTTTTTTTATAACGTCACGTGACGCTACCATTATGTTTTTCCCGAGTAAATGTAATATTATTATCATCATCATAATTTTATCGGCGGTAGTTTTTTTTTTTTTTTTTTTTAAATAAAAATTTTAAACCCGAGGGTGTGTTGTGTTATATAGGAATTTATCCGACGGGTGTCGGTTGGCGAAATGACGTGGCAGTAGAATGAATTTAAACAAATTTTTTTTTTTTTTTTATCGTTTGAAATTATATTTAAAAAAAAAAAAAAAAAGCAAAACAAAATGTCGGAATTAATAATAATCATACCGTTAGGTTTTATTTTCTTCCCGCACAAAAAAAAAAAAAATTTTTTTCTTACTCTATGACTTTATTTATTTTCGTATAAAAACCCGCACGTACGAATAATAATAATTTTTGTCGTCATTTTTTTTTTTAGAGTATGTAAATATTGAAAATTTTTCCCTCAATTTTTTTTTTTTTTTTTTTAGGTCCGTTCGACCGTTATTTAGCAATTATAATAACCTTGGTTGATTTTTTTAGGCGCGCGCGCGCGTGTATTTTTTTTTTTCATTTTTCAAACCCGCTAAGGTTTCATAACCTTTGATCCTCACGTTTTTCGTATAAAAAATTTTATTTATTTTTATCATCATCATCATCATCATCATCATCATCGCATCTCTCTCTCTCTCTCTCTCTCTCTCTTTCTTTCTCTCTTTGATATAAATTTAAATGTTAAATTTTATTTCCTGCACGTCGATTTTACGCAACGTTTTTTTTTTATTGCGCGCGTTTTTTTCGTACGCAATATGGCGTAACACGTGTAAAAAAAATATAAATATTGATTTTTCTTTCTTTTTTTTTTTTTATGTTTTCGTGACGTTTATTATCATCATTATTATTATATTATTATTATCATTAAATAAGTCATTAACTTTTATTATTATTATTATATACATTTACTCTATTAATACGAACATGACAATGTAACTGTACATAATTATTATTATTATTATTATTAGATTTAAATTAAGTAATTTGACATTTGTTAATTGAAGGGGGAGGGGAAGGAGGGTTTGCCTGTTTTTTTTTTTTTTGCGTAACCGTAAAAGGTCAAAACGAGTTTATTGTTGTTTGTGTTGTTATTTAAATCACGTTCATAGATATCCGTACAAACGAACGGATCGTTTTAAGTAACGGAGGGAAGGTAGATGGGGAGGGAGAGAGGGAGGGAGCGAACGGGGGACGGAGGATAGAGGAGGTGGAGGAGGAAAGAACGATATTGCACGAAAACGTTTCAAACACGCAAAAGAAAAAAATAATAATATTAATTATTATTTTCATTATTATTATTATTATTATTTTCATTATTATTATTATTATTATTATTATTATTATCGTTGTCGATGTCGTCACTTTCGTATCGCGCTGTCGTTACATTGCCGGGCATCTTTGCGACAAATTTCCCCGCATGTAAAATTTTTATAAATCGTTTAGGGTTTGTTTTTTATTTGTCGTGGTATTAGATTCGTATGTAATTTTATCGGTAGAAGCGGCAGGAGGTTAGGAAAGTGGCAGGAAAAACTAATAAATAGAAAAAAGAAAAATCGTTTGATTGATTCGCGACAAACGTTTGTCGTTAACTCATAAAAAACATTTCACGCATTTTTTCGCTTTTTTTATTGACGTCTTTATGTTCGATCGAAAAAGAAAAAAGAAAAAAAAACCTGATTTCCGGTTGACAAAGAATAAAATATAATAAATTTTTTTATTATTATTTGTCGTGGCGCGATGGCGAAATTTGGATAGTTCGTTGTTCTTTTTCTCTCTCTCTCTCTCTCTCTCTCTCTGTTTGGCTCACTCTCTTTAAAAAAAAAGTCGTTGGCAAATCAGACACCAAAAAAAAATTTTTTTGTTTTTTTTTTTTCTCTAGAAGTTTAAGGAGTAGAACAAAACATTCGGGAACCGCCATTTTGAATTTTCTAGCAGAAGACATTCCTTCATTTATTTTTTTTTTTTCTAAAAATTTCCAATTTTTACTTTTCGTATTACGCGATCAAACAAACTCATTTTTTTTTTTTTTTTGAATTTTGGCAATCGTAAAATTATTATTATTATTATTATTATTATTATTATTATTATTATTATTATTATTTGATTGACGGTTTTTTTTTTAAATCTGTATTTAATCGATAATTCGATCGATCGATCAATCGAAATTAATTAATCGATAAATTTTTGTACGGTTTTTGTTTTTTTTGCGTGAGTTACGTAAATAATATTTATTTATTTATTTATTATAAACAAGGGAAAGTAGTAACGGTCGAAAATTATTTATTTATTCTATGGAATTTATTGTTTTTTGCTATTATTTTTATTATTATAATTTATTAATTTACATTTTTGATATGCTTACTTTCGGTTTTAATTATTTATTCCCACGGAAAAAACTTGAAAAAAAAAAAAAAAAGTTGAATTTTTTTTCCCGTTTATTTTCTCTATGATTATAAATTAGAGAAGGCGTTTGTTGCACAAACAAAACTTTAGCAAAAAAAAAAAAAAAACAATAGAAATATTTTTTCCGATAAAAACGATGATAATAATAAATTTTTCTTTTATTTTCTCTCAACGATCTACGTGGAATTAGAGTTTGTCGATTTTTTATATTTTTTTTATTTTATATCTCTATGACTTGATTACGATTTGATTTTTCGCCGTCGGGTTTTGTTTTTTTATTTCATCCGCGTTTTTACCGTTTGAATTTTTCTGCTGCCACTTTACTTTTTCGTCAGTATTACCTTATGAGGTTTTTCGTGAAGGATCGGGTAGATTTATTTAAACGTAAAAAGATACGATCGTGAAAAAATTTAAATAAAAAAAAAAAAAAAAAAAAAGCAGACGACAAAAGAAACAAAATTGTTTTCACGATGATGATAGAGAGAGAGA